GGCCTTGAACTCAGAGATCGGTCTGCCTCTGCCTCTCAAGTGCTAGGATTAAAGAAAGGCATGTGCCACCATGTGGGGGATAACAGCAAATCTTTAGAAAAAGAAAGAAAGGGGGCTGGACAGATGGTTCAGCGGTTAAGAGCACTGACTGCTCTTGCAGAGGACCTGGGTTCGATTCCCAGCACCCACATGGCAGCTACGAACCGTCCTTAACTCCAGTTCCAGGGGAATCGGAAACCCTCTTCTGACCCCTGAAGCACTGCATGACATGGGTGCACTCACATACATGAAGGCAATACACTTGTACACATAAAATAAAAATAATATTTTAAAAAGGAAGAAAATTTTAAATATATTTGACAAAAGCATACCCTGTCTCAAACTGATTGTAGTTTGCTTTCTGTTCACTGGTTAGCATTACCCCAAATTAGGTGGATTATTTCTGATTTTCACTTTAAAAATCTTACAAATCTGGGACTGGAGAGATGGCTTGGCAGTTAAGAGCACTGGCTGCTTTTGCAGAGGACCCAGGTTCAATTTCCAGCACCCACATGGCAGCTAACAGCCATCTATAACTCCAATTTTAGGGGAATCGGACACCCTCTTCTGACCTCAGTGGGCATTGCACAACACAGGTGTACTTGCATGCAGGCAATACACTCATACACAAAAATAAAAATAATAAAATATTTAAAAGTATTTGCAAATCTACTATCAAACTATAATTATTTAATATTTGCATAATGTAAAGAAGTATCATAATTGAGTGTCCTTTTTATGTACATCTAAACTGTTGCTACTCTTTTGCTATTCTCAACAACACTATGTGTTAGCTTCCCATTACTATAACAAAATATCTCAGGCCATTAACTTATGAGGAGAAAAAGTTTGTTTCTGTTCAGTTTTCAAGTTTCCTGTCCATGATCCTGCCTGTTGCTTTGGACTTGTCATCAGGCAGTGCATCATGGGTGGAATGTGTGGTGGTAAAAAACCACTCACCTCATGGCCAGGAAGCCAAAGAGATGAAGTGAAGGGACTGGGGGGCCTCATAAATTCTCTTCAAGAACACATGCCCCAATGACCTAAAAATGTCCCATGAGGCCCCACTTCTCATCATTACCAATCTGGAACCAAGACTAACACATGGACCATCAGAGAAACATCCTAATCCTGTGAGAAATACCTATAATTAAAGAAAATCTTTAGAAAATTGTTTTTATTTTATACATATGACCATTTTGTCTGCATGTATGTAAGTGCACCCATGTTGTGCAATGCCCATGGAAGC